TCTGTGGATCATTTCCATTTTCGTACCATTTATGGTGCATTTTTCCTGAAGAAAACGGGAAATGACTTGGGTTTTACCCAAGGGCTGCAGAGAATTGGGAGGATTGTCTCTCGGATCAGGTTCAAATACCAGGAGGAGTCAATTCGGGAAGGGAGCGACAATAGCTATATGGTGGGGAATCTGGTTGGAGAGGAACTGAGGAATTTTCAAAGGGCCTATGAGGACATTTATGTTACTTGGTAAAGGATTAAAAAAAACTAACATTGCCTTTTGGATTCACTCTAATAACGAGTTTAGTGATCTTTTTTAAGTCCTTGTTAGAGACTGGTCCTCGTTTTTGTAGGTTTTTGTTTCTTTCCTTGAGGAATTTTTCCGTCCTCTTATTATTGTAATTTCTCTCTCTCTCATTCTTTCATCAATGAAATTCTTCTCTCGTTTCTTTTTCAAGAAAAAATAAATAAAGATGTTCCATGCTATATCTCTTAGTAAGGAAACAATCATGCATTTTATCCACGTTACCCTTTAAAGGAGAAAAGGAAGGATGTTCCGTACTATGTCTCTTACTAAGGAAACAATCAGTTATGTCATAATAATAACAAGAAGAAGAAGAAGGAATGTTCTCACTGTTATCTCTAGGGGGTTACTTGTCAAATAATGTTTTGCAGGTTTTTGTTATGCGGCCAGTTTTTAGCTGTGTCTTTTTTCTGCCTTCTGACGACTCATCCTCTTTATTTGTACTTATATCATTATCAATGAAAGGAAGTTTTCTTATTAAAAAAAAAAAAATCTCTTAGCAAGAAAATAACCAGGCATTTCATAATAAAAAGAAAAGAAGAAAAGAAACAATCAGGTATTTTATAGTCTCATTCCAGTTGGAAGAAATTTTCCATAGCACACAGCCACTTTTCAGATAAATTTGTCATGCTTTAACATTAGAAAATATAGTTCTTGCCCATGTGGCCACTTTTCAGTTTTCACTTGAATTTTCTAAATATAATTTTGAACAAATGGTCAAAAACCTTGGACTCCTTATCTCCTACCATAAATATATTGTAGAGTAAAGAAAAGAAATAAGCTACTTACCTTGAGCAGACTCCAAATATACATAAATAAGAGAGCAACAGAGTAAGGTTCCGCAAGGAAAGGTTGTCTTCTTTGAGGTACTCATCCTGCAAACAAACCAGAACATTACATTCAATAGTGTAAATGCAGCAAAGCGTATATTACAAAAATTCGACGTAGGTACTATTGAATTTGTGTAACAATCTTAAAAATATATATATATATATATAGCTAATGCATACCTCAAAATTCTTAGCAAGGGAAGCCATAAGCTTCGCGCTGTAGTCAACTCCAACTGAGCAGGCCATGCCTGCAACAAAAGCTGCAAAAACCGCAGCATACCTTCACAAGGAACATGCAGATACATTTGTTAAGACCAAAAAAATAATAACAACAACAAGCCTTAATCCCATCTTAATTGGGGTCGGCTATATGGATTTCGACCAAAAAAATAATAATAATACAAATTAAAAAACAAATAAAAAACAGTACACATTGGAAATTGTAAGTTTTGAACCCAATAACGAGCCCATGTATGTATTAGGCAAGTAAAAGACATGATCTCTTAAAAAGCCTAAAGGTATAAAAAAAAACTCTCCAACAATAATGGAATCTTGTCAGCTAGCATACACATCTTTTCATCAATGCAACAAAGAAAATGAAAGTGTGTGTGCATAGAATTACTTGAATTTTGAAGCTCTGTTAAAAGAATTCCAACCCTGAATAATTAACTACTAGTCTACTATAAACAGAGATTGTAATAAAAAATGACCTCGACTGGCTCAGACTATGAAAGATATACGTCTTCAGGATTACAAAATACCAAAATATAATTCCAGTCCTTCTCTAATATCAGCCTCGTGGTCTACTTATTACAAGATCCAGAAGCGAGTATAAGAAATTGTTACATGGGATTCTAAGAGCACTTCTAACCATACATATCGTTCTTACATGAGCACCTTCAAGAGAAATCAAACGAAACCATAGCTAGACTTTTATCATGCCCCTCTTACTTGTTTTAATAATTATGTGACTTTGCTAATCCACTAACCAGTTGAGACATCTTCAGGCAGTAATTCTCCAATAGCATATGACAAAGATCATGACCAGCTAGGGCAATTATATTCAACGCACAAAACTACCCTTTTATAGTAATGGCCGACAAAGATGGAATAGACTATATTTTAGAAGACCCATCAAATTACATAATTAAAAAATAGAAAACTTGGTCATAACCGAAAGGACAATCAATATGAAAACAAAGAATTAACACTCAACTGTTCATTGCCTCGAGGCCCTCCAGAACATGAAGCCAAAACCTCCTCACTGATTATCTGAGAAGCTATAATCCTTGGAATGGAACGATAGATAACGGACATTTCTCCAGTAATTGATTCAACATTTGATTCAGACAGCCTATTCAAAAGTCCCCGTACCCTTCTACGAATCTGAGAATACTCTTCTAGCTCATTTCCTGCACGAGATCTCAAATGAGGAGCTACATATTTTTCAGGTGCCTTACTAGGAACTTCTTTAAATGACACATCATCTCCAGATGCGCCTATTGGCTTGGACACATCAATGACTGTGTCACTTGCTGCCTTGCTTTCTTTTCCATTTTCAGACAAGTTTCTTTTCTTCTTTTTCTTCTTTGAGGACATCGGTTCAAGAACTTCTTCTAATGCCTCCTCAGCACCATTCATCTCTGCTGCCTCAGATACTTCAACCATTGAATCAGAAGGTATCTCAACTTCTAATTCTTGATCCAATGATTTTTCCGTTTTACGTTTCTTACTTGTGGACCTCATCTCAGATTTTTTGACTGGTAACTCGTCTTCCCATTTTGAATCAAGAATAGATGGAACTCCTTTAAATAGTAAATTGATACCATCATCGTCTCCCCTTAGTCTTCCACTCTTCACCTTGAGTTTCTTTTCTAGTTTCCTTTCCAATTCCAAATCCGCCTGAGCAGACATTGCAACATTCTTCTCATCCATCTCGAGAAACTTCTCAAAATTTGTTTTCACAGTTCTCTTCTTTTTTCTTTTCAATGCCGTTGATGCGCCTAAATCATCTTCTCTCGGGGACTCCAATACAGGCTCAACATCATTTACCATATTAGGTTGCTCCGGACTCTGCTCTCTCCAAGAATCAATATCTAGGCTAGAAACTTGACTCTCTTTTTCATTCTGAACAAGCAAATTGTTCGATTTCTTCCTACTTTTTGACTTAGAATCCTCGAAATTCTTCTTTAGTTTTTTATCTTTCTGTAAACACAAGCACCCAAAGGAATGATATCGTTGTACAATAAAGCACCAGAACCATAATTATGGTCCAAAAAAATTGAAACCCACATAAAATTTAGCTCAAAACTACAAAAACAGAAACTAGTTGAGCTTGGCCGCAGTTCTTTCTTACCTGCCGTTGGAGCCATAATTCGTGCTTTCTCGAATTCTTTTCCGACCGAGCTTCCTTCCTCCTTTCTCGTCGCGATTTTTCTGACGAAAGTTTAAATTATTTATGTATAACCACAATACTTATTTTGAAGATTTTTCCCTCCCTCTCTCTCAAAAATAAAACAACAAGCCAAAGCTAGAATTGCTCTAACAAGCACCCAAAAAAAGCTTACCCATGCCTTGTAGCCGAAGTGCCCAAGTATTCAACTTCTCTGAGGAAAAGACGCAAATAAATGTTAATCCAAGTGATAGAGAACAGTTCTCAAGATTTTCTTTCGTTGAGCACAATACTATATAATTTGGAGTTCTGAGTTTCGCATAAAATTCTGGAATATGGAGACACGAAGGAGAAAATGAGGTTGCAGGTTGGGGTGGGTGGCGGACTACGGCAGTGCTGGGACAGAAAGAGGGCGAGGCCTTTGCGGAGACGGCGCTCTGCGGCGGCGCTTGCGGACGTTGCCGGCAGTGTGGGGGCGTGGTGGCACGCCGGTGAGATTGACAGTGGCTTTGCTTGGCTTTTTGGCTGATAATTTGTTAGGGTTCGGGTTCGGGAGAAACAAGGACGATGAGAGATGATTCTCAACGTTATTTTTGTAAGTGCACTTTTAAAGTAGGTCACGCGCAGTGCACGTGATATTTTAAGTCGTGAGTTTTTATACTAGAATAATTTGCACCTGTAGTCCCTCAACTCTTAAGTTTATGACATTTTGGTCCCTTATCTTTTAATTTTGGCAAAACAAATCTCTGAACTTTTAGGGCATGTTTACTTTGCATTAAAGGGAAAGGAGAACTAAAGAGTGATTCTCTTTCTCATCTAATAATGTGTTTACTTATAAAATTAGTAATGGAAATTTAATGAACCCCACACAATATAAAAAATAAGGATAGAGAATATCAATCCTTGCACTCTCTTAGTATTGATTCCTTATCAAAGGGAATGAGTGATAAATTTATTTATCTACCCTTAATGAATTACTATATAATGCCAATGACTATTTAATTGTGTAAAAAGATATTTTAATAATTGCATTCATAATATTACTTTCTTAATTTTAGTAAACATAAAAAAAAGAATAAAGTTATTTTCTATTATACCATCTAATAATCAAATAAATAAATAAATAATAAATAATTATTATTCTTATTACTTTACTTTCCTTCTAAATCCCATTATCTTTCTCATAATATTTCTTTACGATTTGGTAAACGGCCCTTAAATTATTGGTAATTGAAGGTTTTTCATCTAAAACCATTAAAACCCCCACAGAAACAGGCACATGCCCATCACGTGAGGCCATCTGAGGGGGTACAATTGTAATTGCGCCCATTTCCCATCAATTTTTGGTTAAAAACCCTATCTTCTCTGATGAAACCGTTTAATTTTAGGTTCTTAGGTAAAACTTTGGGGGGGAAAATTGGAGCTTGGGCTTCTGATCAATGGCGACCGAACAAGGCCCTTTGTGCAAGTGTGAGGTGCCGATGCCGAGCAGGATGTTCACCGCTTGGACCAAAAAACATTTCAGGTTGGATATTTTATAGGTGCCATTTATATGGGGTAAGGTTTGCTTCTGATTATTTGGTTTGATGTCGATGAAATGTTGATTGATTTGTTGATCAAACGTTTTCATTTTATGGGTTTTCTTCTCAACAAGAGGGTTGTTGCAATTTTTTTAGTTGAAGGGGTCGCAAATGGTAGTTAGTAATAAACAAAGGGGGTGGAGTCTGCTTCTTCACTGAGTTGCTGGTGCTTTGGTCATTCTGTCGTGGGAATTAGTTGTAAAAAGTCGACGAATTTTTAAAGCTACTGGCCAATGAAAGTTGTATTGATGCTGCTGGTTTTATATCGCTGTTCGCTGCCAGACCATTCAACAAGTAAGAAATAGATCCTTCTTTGCAAGATGCAAACAATAAAAAAAAAAAAAGAAACAAGAAAATCTAAAAAAAAAAAAAATGAAAATACTTACGATAATCAATCGACCCAAAGATGATTTTTTTACTTCGCCGGAACTCAGCCCCACCAGCAGTAAGAAGTGGGTTTTCGTGACTCGTGACTCGTGAGGCTTGAAAAACTGGATTTTAGGGAAATTTGGGGGAGGAGTTATTTGGGGGGTATTTGAGTAATTTAAACCTCAGATTCCTCACAATGGGCATGTGCGGGGTGCCTGTTTGGTTGGACTGGTAGAATGGTAATAGTAATGAGAACCCTGTTTGGTTGGACTGGTAGAATAGTAATAGTAATGAGACTGGTAGAATAGTAATGAGAACGAATGGAATAGGAATGTATTGAAAATAAAAATTGATTCTTTTAGTTAGAATAATGGAATGACTTCAGAATATAATGAATTTAATTATATATTTTGACA